ATTTGAGAAGTCATGGCAGTTCAGTGAAGTTCCCATTGACTGGAAAAGGGGAAATATAACCCCTACTTTTAAAAAGGGGAAAAAAGGAAGACGTGGAGAGCTACAGGTTGGTCAGTCTCAGCTTGGTGCTCAACAAGATCACACTACAGCACGTAGGGAGGTGACTGGTGACAGCCACACCATGGCTTCAATAGGGCAAGTGGTACCTGACAAATTTGATGGCAAACTGTGACAGTTATAGTGTTAGTGGATAAGTGAAAAGCAACACTGGCATCTACTTGGGCTTGTGCAAAGCATTTGACACTGTCTTGTTTGATGTCTTTGTGCCTCAACCAGAAAGACATTGCTGAGAAAAAAGGATTAAACCTGGAAGATCTGGTGAGCAGGGAATAGCTTCACTCTAAGTGACCTTGCAACTGGGAATGCTGGTCATTCTTCTTTCAGTGTGGGAAAAACTAGTATTTGCCAGGATGAACTAAGCCTGAGAGATCCTGTGTCCCATGTGCCTGTGTCCCCATGTCCCTCTGCCTCCTGGTGTTGCTGGTGAGGCAATGAAATAAATCTGTTCTTTGTATTGCAGCTGGGGCTTGCTGCTTGCCCTGCTTTCCTCTTTGTGTTGATTCACACACACATGGATTTGATGTGTGGATAAGGAATTGGCTGGATGGCACATTCAAAGAGCTGTGGTCAATAACCCAAGTCCAAGAGGAGAGCAGTGATAAATCCATTCCTCTGGGACTGGCACTGATACTTTGTTGGTGACACTGACAGTGGGATCAGTCCACCCTCAGCAGGTTTGCTGATGACCAAAGCTGTGTGGTGGAAACACTGGAGGGAAGAGATCCAGAGGGACCTGGATAGGCTTGAGAACTGGGTCTGTGTGAAATTCATGAAGACAGGAAAGTTCTTCAGCAAGTTCCTCCTCTCCCTAACTCAGCTTGGACTCGATCTGAAGCTGAACTGATTCTATGATCTATGTCAGAAAGGACAAGAGGCCCAGCTGCAGCAGCTGGTACGGGTTTTATCCCAAAGTTTATAAGTCACTTTGCAGAAAGCATAAAGTACTTTTATATTCTGCTGGTGCCAGAGAATCACCATTAATGCCAGTTTTTAATATATCCAGGGTTAATAGAATTGAGGAAATCCCAGTGTAAGGATGTTAGATATTTGCTTGTCTCCAATTCAAATGTTATCCTGATGAGGTCAGGGCCTTATTGTACAAGGATGCCAGGACCTGCAGAATAATGGTAAGAACATGCCCCCATTTCTTAAGAATGATAGCACCAATTAGCATTTGCATCACACTTAGTGTCAGAGTACCCCTGGGCACTCTCCAAAGCACATCTCTGCCCCACAGTTGTTGTTCAGCAGTGCTGGAGCAGCACCACTGTGCTCTGCACCTGCCCTTCCTCCTCCCTCCCGGCAGCACTGGCAGGGCCAGGCGGAGCTCACAGAGCTCTCGGGGTGCAATACTGCAGCATTCACGGGGCAAACAAATGCAAGAGGCTCTGAAAGCTCCTGGGACTGCCTGGCTTTCTCCAAGCCTCCTGCAGGACCAGCTTCCTGCCCCTGTCCCTCTGGCAGTACCCAAATGCCCACACTGGAGCAATTCCAGTCAGGCAGCACTGCAGAATGCCCTGGACATAATCCGCTTTGCACAGCCCATTGTGAGAGAAGATGAAACATGACACAGATGGAGGAGAGAAAACTTGGCTTATCCATACTGATTTTGGTGGTTTTCTGACAATTCATGCCAAGCCAAATCACAGCCAAAACAGTTTTAAATCGTAGTATGAAGTTGAAAGGAAATGAATGCAGTGTCTGGCCATACCTAGGGATTAGTTTTGTCAGGACAAAACCTCCTATAGCTGACTTAATAACTTGGCAAAAGCACTGTAAATAAAGGCAACGCTGAATCTGCCAATTTCCAGCTTGTCGAGCTCCTCCACAACCAACAAACCACAAAAGTAATTACAGACAGTTAAAATGCAAAGAGCAGGAGGCCTTTTCCTAAAAGGCACAATTACTGTGCCCCTAGAGGCTGGGTTTAAGTCTACACCCTGAATTAATTTCCATTCATTTCCATCTGAAATTCGTTTGGCTTTCCCAAGATGTAAGTTTGAGATGTTTCCAATTTATCTGAGACTTCATCATGAAGGAACTTGCAGTACACACTTCAGTGACATGTTTAAGTCCCTCATTCCCATGACATTTGGCAAGAGTCAGCTTTCTGTGAGGCAGGCTTCTAAACAGCCAAAAATAAAGATCTTGCTTTCAGCATCTTAATTTAGAGTTTTCAGTATCAGAGCATTGCTTTGTCACAAAAAATGAACTATTTATTTGCAGGGACATGTTGATAATCCTATGTATCTGTTGGCTGCAGGGCCTACAGATGCTCCTATGAACATCTAATCTTGTTTGTTGTATAAAAATGATATGAATTTCACCACAAGTGCTTGCATTCCTCAGAACATTTCTTGTTTTTTTGAATAGAAACACACATACACATTCAGCACGGAAACAAGCTTGAATCCAGCTACACAAATGTTGTAAGAACAACAGAGGGAAATAAATGAAATGTTACAGCCCTTCCACATTGTCCATGCAGGCAAAGAGCTGATGAGAATGCTCTTGCTCTCAGAAGAGAATAAGAAGAGTTTATAATAATCCAAAAATTATTAAAAAAAATGTTCCTGTGCTGCTCAACAGGCTGAAAGCTTCTCACTGATAGGTGTTCACACCATTTAACTTTAGACATTCTCAGTTTAATACCTCCATGTACAGGTACTGAAAAGAAGGCAGGTTCCTAACATAGATTCTCTGTATCACCCTCCAGAAGTCTCATTTTCCTTCAAGGTACCCAGGTTCTTAAGAAATATTCTAAGAACACCCTTTATTGTTTCATTTTCTGGCTCTTGGCTAGAATATGCATTGTTCTTTCGCAGTAGGTAATTTATTCAGAGGCATTTTCCAAGTCAGAGGAGCTACTCCCAGCCCCAGCTGAGCTTCTTGGTAAATTTGCCCTGTGCAGAACAGCAAACACAGAGAGGACAAAGCGGAGGAGGGTTCAGCTGCACCAGTAAAGCACACTCTGGGGCTACACAAACTCCCCTAGAACAAAAGGACATTTAAATTCAGGGGGAGGGAGTCTTTTATAAATCTGGAAACAGATGGTTCCTGTGTGTACTGTACTTTCATCTACATTTTTCCCAGGGCCACAGAGGAGCCGAGACTGGTGCTGATTTGGAGAAGTCCAGACCCTTTCTGCCACTTGTTAACAGGAGCTGAACAGGGAGCAAGCACAGCCATGCTGTTTCCACCTGCACGCTGGAATGCCCACAGGACACACCAAATGCAGATCCTTATGGATTGTCTGCAGAAATAACCAGGCTGTTCTCAGCAATCACTGGGAATCCCACTGCCAGAGCTACAGACCTTCACACCTAATCTGCTTTGGGGCCAGACAACACCACAGATCACAACCAAGGTCAGCAGTGTTTGATGCTTTCCCATTTCCAACTTCAGTACGTGAAGTAACCAAAGTTTCTATAGGACCTGCTCTTTCCAGACTTTATCAAGACACAAACAGAAATCAAAAATGTCCTGTTGCTGTTTAAGTCCTGGTTAAATCCTGCCAGAGCATATCTGTACACTTCACTAAAAAGCCCCACTAAAGCAGAGTAGATTTGTGTCAAATGAGCATGTGACACTGTTTCTCTCTTCCCTTTATGCATCCTCACCACAGACATACCAAGCACCTGCTTGAGAAGCTTGTGCTTTGCAGAACAGTTACAAAGAGCATCATTCACAAAAGCCTCTATAAGTTACCAAGCTGGTATTTCAGTCATTCAGGGTTATTTGCTGCCAGGAACATACAAGTTAATGTGACCTTTTACAACATCTACCCTTAAGATGCCTCCAAGCCATGATGGGATTACAAAATTTGAAATCTGCTGAGGCAGATGGAACATTTCCTATTAGAATGACCTGAAAAATACAGGGTGTGCCCATTCCCTCAAAATTCCAATTCACTGGGTTTTGTTTTTTTTTTTTCCTGCTCTGCTGATTTGCAGACCCTTAAGCATTTCCCTTTGGATCCCCCAATGTCAGCATAATAATAATATTCTTGCCTTTCTTAATTACCTTTCTCAGATCTCTTAGCAGCAGCTAATAGACCAACAGGGATCCATAGAGAATAATCTGAAAGTGATGAGTTAATAACTTCGTAAGGACAGGCCCTTAAGTGATTGCCCTTCAAAGAAGGATGCACTTTAATAACAGTGTATATATTGTATAGACATTTCCTGTTCTTCTGTCTTGCATAACAGAAATAACAACTGCAACCTTTGCAATCCTTTGACATTACATTTGTTTAAACTGTCACAAAACCTGCCCAGAGCACACTGGGGCAGTCAGGGTCAGCAAAATGGTGAATCCCAGGCTCAGGAATTACACACAGCTACAGTATGCAAAACAGACTTGATGGTAATGCTTATTTTTATGTGGCTCCCTCCGTGAGCAGAGTTACAAAATGCTCCATGCAGAGCCAATCATTCACAGTTCAAGCAACCAGGGATGGTGCTGAGGGAAACCTCATTTCAAAAGGAAAGTAATATAGATTTTAGTACTGGAAGTTTTAATGGTAATGCACACTAGAGAGAAATAGCACTTAGAAAAATGCACTGATGATACTGTCTTTTCAACAGAGACATCAGAGCAATGATTTCTATGGTGCTTTTGATCCTGGACTCTGAAGGTGAAATTTTCTGTTCAGGAGCTGATGCATAAGTTTTTATGAGGCTCTCATTAACCTTACCTTGAAACTTTCAGTGGCACACACACTTTTGCTAGACACTGTGTAGAGGTAAATTTGAGGAAAATGAAATCTATTAAAAAACTACAAACTTCAAGACCAACAATTTCACTCAGAAGTTTTTTATCTGAACTCTCCTTAGATGACTCACGACAGCTCTCAAGCCCCAAGGAACACTCACCTGGAATGTCATGTGAAGGATGCTGCAGACATACAACTCAGGTTTGTAAAATCAAGCCAAGGCAATAAATTTGGTCAACAGGCAAAATCCAGGGTCGCTTTCTCTACAGCACTGGGACACTGACCTGTGAGAAAGGAGAGGGGAGAAAAGAGTTCAAGACCACTTCTTAAGATTGTGCAGAGAAACAGATTGTCAGGTATTAATCCTCAGCACCAGGTGCCAAATTCACAAGGTAACAGCCCAGTTGTAACTTTCCCACCTCAGCAAGCAGGGAAAACAGTATCAGTCCTTTTAGTCCTGCTTGTGAAAGATGAAATCTTTAAAAAACCTGGTCATTGTTGACAAAACAAATAGACCACGTAATGCTGGCTATAAGCTGCAGCTGAAATGTGTGTTTAAATTATACATAGAACAAATTCAGAAGCCATCCATGCTCCAAAGGGTGTTCAAGAAGGTATTTAACGATTTCTGTGAACAATTTGCCAAGTGAAAACATCCAAACCTGTTTCAAAAGTTCTTTGCCTCAGGCACCAGCTCTATCTCTACATTAAGTTTTCATACACAGAGAGCTAGAGAGCAGATGGCCACTGCAAGCAGTTTTCAACAGGGATGTTTCAGTCTCTCAGTCATAGGTTTATCTGAGCAGCCTGTGCCCTGTTAACAGAAACATCCTGAAGCCCAAAGATCAGGATTGCTTAACCATTCACATAAAAATATGAAGAAGAAATGCAGACACTACAGGAATTCATTATATGACGCTGTTAATTGGCAAGTCATCTGTCAACCTGACACTGGGCTTCCAGTGGCTTCTCTGGCTACTCAGACACCTGAGAAAGACCTGTTTTCAGACTCCTCATGTGAAAACCTGAGCAACATTTGCTCTAGGATGCACATCATGTTAGCTAAAATTAACCTTTTTGTCTTTCAATTTTTTCAATTGTCTAAATTCTGACTTCCCAAGCATCATTTCTCTTTGCAAGTTTAACTTGCTATGATGTAGATGGAAACAGTGCAGAATGTTTCCAGCTGCCTGGCTCTGAAGGAACAGAAAAGATGTAATCTTGGAGGTGGGAAAAGAGGGAAAAAAGAACTGCTTTGTTGTTACACACTACTCCTTGTTCAAAAGGCTGTGTGACACCTCCAAGTTTTGACAACACAGCTGCATTTATATCTGCTTGTGATGAGAGTTCCCATCAGCTCAAACCTGGCATTATGCCTGACTGGCAATTCATTACTTACTGTAATTTAGGAGCACTTTTTACATCATAGCAGCTCTTCTTTACTGTTCTCTCTCCCCTCTCCCCTGAGCATGCCAGGGAGCTGATGTGCCTAACTGGAGATGCCATCACTGTGCTCTGGGGCTGTGCTCCCCAGCTGTGCAAAGGAACAGCCTGCTTCTTCCAAACAGGGGCTCAGAGAGATGCTCCAAATCACACTCTGAGGCTGCCTCTTTCCCCACCCACTACAGACACAGCCAAGATAAGTAAAATGAGTAATGAAGGGGAAAAACATAAAGCAGGGTTCTGTTCAAGAATTAATGTGCTCATTTTAACTCAACAAGCTCAATCTTCCCTGTTTACAGCCTAAATTACCTCCTTTAACACTGAAACAGTAGAGTGAGAACACTTCCACTGCTTCCCTCATGGTAAGCAGACAGGTGCATGCTGCTTGTTGGAGGAAAAAAATGAGCCTCCTAATAGGATAATATAGTTTGGGTTATATTAGTTACAGAAAAATTGAGATGAGAAAGCTGCAAGGGCATAATCATCATGAAACATGGGGCTGATTACTGTGAAGTGCTGAGCTCCAGACAAAGTCATTGGGTGTTATATGTGCTTTATAATATGATCACTGCTGTCTTTCCACAAATTATGGGCAAAAGGTAGGTTTTCATACAGCTACACATCCAAGTTTCCTTCACTAAGTATTTTTATATATAAATTTTTACAATATGCAGCTCATAACAGTACCCATTTAAACCTCTGTCAGTGCACAGAACAGCACAATTATTTATAATCCATATATAGAATGCAGAAATTGTATAGCACTCAATGAACATGCACTGCTGCATATTCATACAGAGGAAAAATATAATGGAGACATTTCTTGAATGAAGATCAATCCTCTTGACCAATGTAATGGAAAGAAAATGAGGGCTAATGAGAAGATCAATCAAAGAAAATTCAAAGACTTCCAGATATTACTCCAAATAGAGATCAGAGGAAAAGTGCTTTCACGTCACAGAGATTTTCCAGTGTGTCTGAGGGACCTGGACACTCTACAGGTTCACAGGCCCTGTTCTGGATGTGGGCAGAGAAAGCATCACACAGCACCAGCTGCACCTACCAGTGGGCTGGGCAGCCTGTTATCCTACAGTGAAAACAAAGCTTCTGCAGTAAAGGAACAAGATAAAAACTTGGCAGTCAAGAGCATTCTTGAAAAACCTTTGCACCTGTGCCAAGGGAACATCTCTGCTGGTATCATCCCAGACAGGAGCTCAGAGCAAACAGGAGGAAGGGCAAAAGGCAGAGGCTCTAGCAGAAAGTCCATCAATGATACTTTAAGTGACTTGAACTGTGAGCCAAGAAATGAATAAATTATGACATCAAAGTCTGCACTCATATAAGTGACAGGGTGATAGTTTAACTTTTTTTTTTATGTTGGGGGAACTCATTACCTACAGAAATGTTTATGTGCTCTCCAAAAAAAAAAAATTCACTTTCTTCTCTTAAATTACTGTTACTGGCATTCCTATTGACAGGGAGAAATACAGAACCACACAAAACTGCACAAATCACAACATAACACTTCAATGTGTCCATCAGCTAATGCTAATCTATAATTGAACACCGTGTAGGTACTCAGGAAATCCATTAATCTATATAGATTGTTCCTTCAGGATGAGTGCTTCAGGTTACTTTACATAAGGAAAGGCATCCAAGGTCTAGGACACTGTTAAAAAACCCACAGATCTACATAAATACTTACTAGGCATTTCAGGAGAGACATCTGACAACTAGAATGCTCGATAACTTCAAAAAGAATACACTCACTGAAAATGTCCACCACAGAAAATGCCTGCAAAGACATAAAAGGACTTAATTGACTTTGAAAATCAGTCTAAACTTGTCCAAAATTGTGATCCCAAGGTTTACCCCTAGCCATTTCTCTCCTTTACACAGATGGCTCCTCTGTTTGACTGAGAAACAAATTGGGCAAAGAATGCAAATACATTAATGCTTTAACAGATTTTAATGCTAATTGTCTCTATTACCAAATCAAAGGTGTGGTGTAATAAAATTGAGACAAACCCCATGAAAATCACAACTGAAATTAAAAAAAAAAACAAACAATGGGAAAACTTAAATCTCTCTCTTTAGAGAGGCATTAGTCTAGAGGCATTACTTCCTCTAGTCAAAATGCTTTGGTGTAAAGACCTGCAACTCCCATCCACTTTTGAAACAAAACTCTAAGCACATCCTGATAATAAGCAAAATATCAGAATAGGTTCAGTGCTGTGTTCAAATGATAAGCAGAGGGAAACAGAACACCACTGACACCATTCAAGACAGAGAGAAATGCTCTGCAACATAATAGAAGTCCTTATATTTATTGAAAAACACATTTCTTTGCAATAACATGCCATAAGCCAATTGTTCCCTTTCTCAAAGACTCCTATTTTCACAAGTGTGTTTCCTTCAGTGGCCCCAGTTGTTCATATGGATTTTCACACATACAGTTCTCTATTCTGTGAGAAGTTGGAGATGAAAACTTGTTTGAAATCTTTTCACTCTCAGAAGAGACTGACTGATGAGAGCATGAGGATGGCAACATAGGGAAGGAAAAAAGCCTTGTTTCAGAGTCATGTCCATGTGTGACAGCAACCCAGCAGGGATTTTATTAATGGCAACTTGCAGGTTATTGCTGTGCAGCTGAGCTGAGTGCTCCAGTGTGTGCATACACATGGTAACTGAGAAGAGCCTTCCCTGCTCCATCAGACAGTGCTGGCTCAGAATTGAGAGTTGCTTGCTCTGATGGATGGTTCAGGCTCATTAAGATAAGCACATCTGGTGGCCCACTGCACCTGGAGATCATCTGAGCAACTATCCCAGGTAAAACATCTCCTTTCATTAAAAAGAACATGAGCAATTGAGCTTCTGCTGTTTCTCTTGGATAAAGATTCCAAGAAAGCTTAATGGAAGCAGTTTCCCACTGTAGGCAAAGAGATGACACCAAATCACCACCTGGCTCATGGATCTGCTGAGAACTTGGTGATGAGGACAGAGCTTATTTTCCTTATTAGCAGAAATAAGGCAAGTTGGAAAGGTGTATGCCTTAACAGGAAATCATGTTTAGAATACTTTGAGGATAGGCTCCACTGTTATCTCAGAACTGGCATTCTGAGCTAAAGGAAACCCAAACTATTAGACAGCTCTGAAAACAAAAACTGCTGCACTTTACCCTAAAAAAATTAAAATACCACTCTGTCTGCAGGACAAAGCTGAAGTGTATCAGCAAATCTCTTATCTTCCTTACAACTCCTCTTCAGCTTTTCAAGATTTTAAAAATTAGCTGCTTATCCCCCCAGCTTTAAAGGAGACATGACTTTTCATGAGACTTACTAATATTCTGATATGTTTAACTAGCAGGAGATCTCTAGAATATACCTTTTATAATAGGAATGCTAGTGTGCACCTGCTCCTTGCTCCTCTTCTGCTCTGCAGTGTTTTCAGTGGCAGGCTATATCTGAATTTGATTTCCTGCTTCCACTGGTCTCCTTGGTACTCAGAGAGCCAAAGTCACCACTGAATTCTTGGCAGAGGCCAAGCTTTAATTCACCAGTAATGCGATCCCTAGAATTACTGATAAACTGTTTAAGTGCTGGATACATTTATGTAAGTTGTATAGAAGAACTTGTCATTGATTTACTCTTTGCCAAACAGTTTAGCACTCTGAAACAAAACACAGACTTTCTGAAAGCTGCTGTCACTCCATTCAGCAACACTGCACCTATGGGTGAGAGCAAATGCTACTTCTACAGGGATTCTTCCTTACCCTGAAAGGGAGAGGAATAGATTGTTGTTATGGTATGAAGAACTTTTACTATTTACTTTGCTTTCATTTCTTGACTTCACAGAAGCATTCATTCATTCACTGATTTTTTTTAAAGTCAAAGCCATTGATGCCAGGGGATTGCCCTTTACTGTACCATAAAGGGCTGCCTGCCACCCTCCAAAGGCACTGCTCCAAATTAAAATATGATTAGACTCTCTAGGGTGACCTTGTGAAAAGGCAGGTGTGTGTTTACTTTCTCTGCCTTCCAAATCAACCTTGCTCAATTTAGAAGTAAAGAAAAGATGTTTTACCTAATTGCCAGCCCTGAGACTCTGTGAAGTCTCAGTAACAGTAAAGACAAGGAAATAGTTAATGATTCTCAATAAAGAGCATAAATAGTTAACGATCCTGGTAGCTACCTGCAAGCAGACTCCAGGTCACTCATCCACAGCTGGGCTGAATCTGCAAGGCTGACAAATAAAAAAGCAATAAATGTTTATTTTTTTACCAAAATGTTAAGTCATAATTTACAGCAGAGTAATCCTTCATAGCTGCTCTGCAAGAAAGTGCCTTATCTGTCCCTTAATTTCATACAGCAGTTAGCCAAAGGTTTTCTCTGCCTTTTTGCTGAAACAACACCCATTATAGGATGTTAGCATGGACAGCAACTCAAGAACTCCTTGGGACGGGGAGCTGATTGGTTTTATTTTAATACATTATCCCAGACAGTTGCTTTCAGCCATGGCCAATGGATTTAACTCCCTGCACTTGAGGAATATCTGAAATTCCCCTCCCAGCAGGCTCACCAAGGATTACCAGGAATCACTGAATCACCTGAGAAGCCAGAGCTACAGGAACAGGGCACTGGGTCATCAATTAATCCCTACTGAGATAGAGGAAGTTGTCAAACCTGCTTTTCTGCCACTCAGGCTCCATGCTTTGGCCATCACAAAACTGACCCTAAGAGAACTTGTCTGAAACTGCCAAGCTGGAAGTGCAGCATTGATTGGATTGCACTCCCAAAGCCTGTCAGCAATCACGAGCAGCACTTGCTGGACAACCTGCAGCACTTGACTCAGCACTCACTGGACAATGGTAGCAGCCACTGTCCAGATTAAAGCACACCCAAATTACAGCCATTTTCTGTCTGCAGATCGAGAGTCACAGGACTGTCTTTTCCATGACACCACTTTAGGCCCCTGCTGCTCCTTGCAGCAGGACACAATTTTCCCCTTGCAGTTTAGAGAGACACTAGAAAAGTCTGCTGCTGAGAGGAAATTAAAACTGCAGTAGCCATTAAGATGGGAAAAAGATGTTCATTCCAGGAGATAAATATGGCAATGCTTATTCTGCTGCCTTCTACACAAGATTCATTTAGGTATTCCTGACAAGGTTTCTTGTTCACACACAAACTCTTCCACCTTCAAGTACAATCCCTGCCTGATCCCAAACTAGTGCTTGCATCAGGGGCCTAAGGTGAATTTGGAGACTGGTCTTCTTCAGCCCAGCCTTCTCCAGAGGGAACACACCCTACATTTCCCTTTGCTGCATAGGTGGAAAAACTTCCAACAAGTCTACTCTTGTTTTTTGAGAATGTGCAAAATGAAAGGTCACATGGGATGTACCATATGGAGCAAAATAAGATATGCCAGCTATGTTTTCTCATTTTGGTGTCCAGAACAAAGTTCACACAAACCTTGTTGTTTGTTTTGATGTTACTCACAATCTGAACAATTGTAGAGAAGGCAACCAATATGAACTAAATGTAACACTACTTATTACTTTCACATCCCTTTAAGCCCAGGTGCAAGGCAGAAGCAGATGTGGACATTCATTTTCTCTTTATTTTCAGGCAAGCAGGCCTATCTGCCCAACTTTATTCACCACCCTCGGGAGGTATTCCTGCTGCCTTGGATTTACAATGCCAGAGGGTAACTTCTGTGAAGAGACTAACATCCCTGCAGATAAAGGAAAGAAAGGAGTTCTCCTGCAGAGTAGTTCAGAGCAGGACCTGTAGCCAGGCCCTGAGTAGCACTTCTGATAAAACTCTTTATCTCCACTGAGGAACCACAGAGAGGAGAATGGAGAAAATTATGTCCCTTAAACCGAGCTATTTCAGTATCTTATGGAAGGTTTCAGGGTTCAAAGCTTTTTCTGATTTTTTATACTTGAATTCAATCAAACCCAGTCGATTTGCATAAAAAGCCCATTTGAAAATAACTAGCTAGAAGTGCCAAATTGCCAGCCCAGGAGGAGAAGCATTTTTTATGAGCAGTGTGGAGTTCTCATGACCAGAAGGATACACTTTCAGTACCCTTCACAATGCCTGGCACAGAAAGACCACCCAAAGGTGGAAAAGATTCATTTCAACATTCTTTGATATCATACAATCTTTACTAAAAATGCTAAATAGCTTTAAATGTGTATCAACTTGTATAGTTCTTTATTACAAACTCATTAAAATTATTTTGATTAATCTCTCATCAATTTTCAACTGGTAATTAGCTTTACAGAGACTACAAGATATGTAATGTATAATGCAACTTCTAACTATTTCCACGCTGAAATGTAGCAGAAAAATGGGGAACTTAATAGCAGAAACTTCTTCTGACTCATGGTAGGTTTATGAGTTGTCAGAGTGAAAAATAAATGCACTAACTTAATGGGAAAATATAACAGCCATTCTGTACATGTCATAGCTCAGGTGCCGCTTCAGAGCTAAGAATATCCTTATCCAGCAAAAGCAATTAAATATATGCTTAGCTTTAAGCAATCCCACAGGAATCCACAACATCTAAAAAGTAAGTAGTAATGATGAATAGAATTGTTACTCGTCACTCTGGAGGAATATTTATATAACAATGTCCTAACTGAGGCAAAGGAAGAATTTCACTGTGACTTTCTCACTGTCAAAATTATTTGCTTCAACTCTGAACTATTAGTTTTCAATGTGTGTGTATGTATTTCCACGAAGGTGAACAAAAAATACCTTGTCTTCATTTTGGAACCCATTTGCTCACATATTGTATACACCAGAGTTTCTGGAAAAGGAAATTAGGATTGCAAGAGACCTCTGAATGGCCTGAAAAATGAGTGGTGAAATTATTTTGCCATTATCTTTCTCAAGTACATTCCTAATTCTGATTCTAAGTCACCTTAGAGTCCACTCACTGACACCCTTGGCTTCTTCTCATCTCTCAGCTCTTCTGGGAAGCAGCTGTTTTGTTTCTCAGCACAAGATCCCGTTCAGCTGTAGCCACTGCCTTTTCCCACAGCCAAGTAAAGCACCAAACACCAAACATCTCTTTTGCTTTGCTGTGAGAGAATTACTGGGTGAAGTACCGGGGAGACAGTGTGTGGATATCTTATTTAAATAGTGGCTGAGGGAAGAGCCCCATGATGGATGAGGTGCTCAGTGGACTAGCTTCCCTAATAACTCACTAAACCCAAACAGCTCATGAATTTCTTCCTCCTCATGGGGCTCAGAAAACCATGCAGGATTCTGTCTTTCAGTTGCTTAGAGAATGAACCACTGCAAGGGTAGACAAAGGGTGGAAAGTTTACCTTTCTCTCAGGTGCTTCTGATAATAGGAAGGGTAGGGAACACCCAGGACCACAGACAGGTTTCTGGTCTCCTTATAGGAGGTGATTGCAGGCAGCACTCTGCATGCTGCCCAGGCCATTCCCACAGGGCTGAGGCTGGGAGAGAACAAGAATCAAACCAACAACCATCTTAAAGATCCTCACATGGGCCAGACCTGTTGTTCCACTCCCACTACAGCAACACACGGGGCCTTCCCTCCTCTCCCTTTTATCATATTTTAAAATGTAGCAAATCTGTTAATTAGTGTCAAAGAAACAATGCAAACTAGCTGAAAGCAGCTTTTCTGCCACTGATTGCTGACAAGCTAATAGGCCTGACATTTCCTTCAGCACACTACTCCTTTGATTAATGCAGCTTCACAATTATTTCTTTAAAAAATTTGTGTAATACTCTCCCATGGCATCAATTGATTTAAATATAAGACAAAGATGAAGCAGAGGTGGACTTTGAAAATGGGGAAAAAAGTTATAATGAGGTTCATAGTCAGGGAGGCTGTTACACCAAATCTTGGGCAGTTTATTACTGACTTAGGTAATAGCAAGGATCTTTTAAAAGGAAAAGTGGGGTCAGCAGCACTTTCCTGTGATGGGCACCTGTTGCTAAAAATTCTTGGAGAAGAATTCTCTTATGTGAGACTGCCAACACTTTTGCGAAAGACTTGCACAAGAACAAATCTCTTCTTCAGTATTTCAATCTAAATTATTGAAAATAAGTAGCTACATTTTGTTTATCTTGTTTTTCCTTTGTTGAGTCAAGCTGCCTCCAGCTGGCTATCCCAAAGCTCAAAGGCTGCTCCAGCATTTTTGAGCAAAACATATTCTTTTGTCTTCAGGCTTACATACATGAAATGCAACAGTGACTTTACAATCAGTCTGAAGTTTGTATTTTCTAGTCTGACTGAATTTGCCATGTGAAACACTCAACCTGAGAGGTTCAGTCTGGATTTTTATTTTCAGCTTCTCCCTGGCAAAAAGCTGCCACCCTCTCTGCTTGGAAACATGATCCCTTTCCCAAGATCATCAGCAGAGTTAGTGGACTGAAAAGTGGAACATTTGGTTGGTTGCTGTTTCCAAAGTTTTCTAGAAGAGTCAGGGTAAAATCAACACCCTTTGATGACTCTGCTTGGGGTTCTTGAGGAAAATACCATACATGACCTTACAGTCTGTTTGTGCCCATCTATCCTTCTGTTCTCACGCCTCTCCTTCCTCCAAAACTTTCTGTTACCAAATTAGAAATATAAACACATTCAAAAAAGGCAGCTCCATAGAAGAGAATTTTTGTGGCTGAAAAATTTTTAGCTGATTTTTTTCTTTTTTTCTTTTTTTTTTTGTCTTCCCTACATACTGAAGATATGAGATCTATAAAATCCACTCACTCCTCAATGCACAGAAAATCCAACCCCCAGCAAGGAACAGCCATCCAGGCTGGTTTGGGAAGGATGAAACCCTTGAGCAGACCCACTGCTGGCTGAGCTGGCTGAGAGAGGCTGTGCTGTGTCCAGCAGGGGGATGACTAAGCAACATTCCACATCTACAGACAGGGATATTCCCGTGAGGGAGACTGATTCAAATCTCTTTACACCACAGTTCTAAAAGGGAAACCTCACAGGTCCTGCCTGTCCATAGCAGATGCCCCTGCCACAAGGCTTCTATCTGCTCCTTGCTACAGCATGTGACATTTTCCTCAGCTTCTGGAGATGCAGAGTTTCCTGGACACTAATGAATTTCCATGAAAGGCTTCAGTTTCAGTGAATCAGCTTTTCCTAATGAAAAATGACACTGACAGAAATTTCTCTGCCAGCTCTCTCACATTGGATAACCTTCAGAAACACAATTCACCTCTATGTTTCTCCATCTTGAA